CAACTCACAGTTCGACGATGCCCCTGAAGATGGTCCTGAAGATTTCGCTTACGGTTACTCGAGTCTCGGTGATTCGAGTAATCCTTTACCTGCTCATATTAGAAAGGAGATTCTGGAGTTAGGTTATCCTGATGATGGGTATAATTACTTGGGGCATTTGAGAGAGATTAAGAACACTGGTGGTGGTTCTAATTTCTATGCTAATCCTAAGTTTGAGGTTGATCAGCTACCTCGTGACGTCAAGGCGTATGATGCGTCTCGTGTTAAGATCTCTGGTATGATCAATGAAGAAGCTAATGATAAGTCGATGTATACTGTGGCATCGAAAACTTTTAACGTCAAGGTTCAAAAAGCTATTGATCCTGAAGTGGCTGCGTTGCTTGAGAACAGTGATGTATCTGAGTTTGGTTCCGATGTTGAGGATTTGGAAGAAGATTTTGTCGTTCAAGCTAATCTTACTCAACAGGGAGAATCTTCTGGTGTGAGCAATAACGAGCTCGAGATTTTTGAAAGACCTAAGGCAAGGGGTGGAGAAAGTGTTGGGGTAACTGATAAACCTGTGGTTGAAAACCCGAGAGTTCTTCGTCCAATTGATGAGCTATTTGATCAGATTGAACTCAATGAATATGGTAGTGACAGTGACAATGATGGTTACATGGCTGGAGATGGAGACGATGAAAAAGAGTTCATGGCTCAGAGCGTTCAGAATTTTATTTATGAGAAGCCAAAAGATTATGAGCTTGAAGAAGAAAAATATATGAACCCTGCGGATATATTGAAGAACAGTGACTCTGTGAAAGATAAAGCGGAACTGGACTCTGCTGCTCATATTATCCGTCGCTGTGTAGAATATGCTGAGAATTTCGAAAACGGGAATGATGAATTTGTAGAGGTGGTCGAAGAAAGCAGCGATGAAAGCGAGAAGTGGGATTGTGAAACTATAGTCACAACATACACGAATCTCGATAACCACCCTGGTAAAATCTATGCGCCAGAGTCAGCTAGGAAGAAGAAGCTGAGCGAAACAGTAGCTAAAGCATTGAGTTCAAATGGCAAAATCATTTCCCTCCAAGGGAAAGCGAAGCTACCCGTCGAGTTTTTACCCGGTAGGAAAGCTGAAGAAACCGTTGTCAAAGCGGCAATCCCGAAAGCTGAACCAGTTAAGAGGAAGACTCATGGTCAAGAGTTGAAAGAAGAGAAGAAAGAGCGGAAAACTGCTGT